ATGTTGTATGTTTCTGTAGGTATAACTGAATGGGGTGTTGTGAAGGTAAAAGAAATGTTATGTATACCAATACAAAAGGTCTATTGTGTACCAAAGACTAGAGGTCGTCCAATAAATGTAAACCTTTCAGCATTTTATCTAAATTTATCAAAAATTCAAGCTTTTCATGACCAGACAGGGGAACTAGGGGAAGGGGAATGAGTTAACAAGAAAAGTCTTTATATTCTCGTAATAGGGTTTTAATAAACTAGGAAATATTTGATAATACAACGTGAAGAGATTAGAATAGTTTATACAATTTTCAAGTTAGTTGCTGTATGTTTAACATTTGTACTAGAAAACTGAGGTATACGAAGACGACAATAACGCAATAAGTGTATTTATGCTGTTAAATTAAGCAAATAGTTTTAATATCACTCATTCAGGATATTGGTCTGTGTACGCTGCACAATGTATGGGTCACATATTCATTGGACTATTTAAAAATTTTCCTTTTTAAAGATTTCCTAATTAAATTTTTCCTATTTAAAGATTTCCTATTTAAAGTTTTCCTTTTTAAAGTTTTCCTATTTAAAGATTTCCTATTTAAAGTTTTCATTTTTAAAGTTTTCCTCTTTAAAGATTTCCTATTTAAAGTTTTCCTATCTAAAGTTTTCCTATTTAAAGTTTTCCTATTTAAAGTTTTCCTATTTAAAGTTTTCCTATCTAAAGTTTTCCCTATTTAAAGTTTTCCTATTTAAAGTTTTCCTATCTAAAGTTTTCCTATTTAAGGTTTTCCTATTTAAAGTTTTCCTATTTAAAGTTTTCCTATCTAAAATTTTCCTATTTAAAGTTTTCCTATTTAAAGTTTTCCTATTTAAAGTTATCTTATTTAAAATTTTTCCTATTTAAAGTTTTCCTATTCAAAGATTTCCTATTTAAAGTTTTCCTATTTAAAGTTTTCCTATTTAAAGTTTTCCTATTTAAAGTTTTCCTAATTGAAGTTTTCCTATCTAAAGTTGTTCTATTTAAAGTTTTCCTATTTAAAGTTTTCCTATTTAAAGTTTTCCTATCTAAAGTTTTCCTATTTAACGTTCTTATCCAAAGTTTTCCTATTTAAAGTTTTCCTAATTAAAGGTTTCCTATCCAAAGTTTTCCTACCCAACTTATTCCTATTTAAAGTTTAAAGTTATAATATTTTCAAGTTAGCTATTGCTTGTATGTTTATATCTATTTTATAGTATTCATGCATGACGTTTGTTTATTTATAAACATAAATGTGGGGGGGGGGGGTGTATTTCACGAAGACGACATTTGATTATCATGGTTTAAGGGACTGTCATTGTATTATCAAGGAACCTTCATTTAAAAATGGACAGGCTCAATTCACAACGGTACCCTTTGAACTTTATTTGATCCATATTAGCTTGACAAGTTTTTAATTCTGACAATTCCTCCATTGTTTCTGCAGCAATAAGGATATCTAGTTTATACTTTTAAAAAAAGCTTTTCAGGGTGTCGCATGGTCCCTCCCACTCTATCAATGGAGTCACCATTATTATTAATTTTTTTAAAAATGTTGAATTTTGACAATATTATATTCCAGGAAAAGCGTGACCTGGTGACCGGCCTGAAATCCCGAACTAACGCTGGTCGACCCAACTGGAACAAGGTGTTCACCAAGATAAAGGAGCAGAGGAAGGGGAAGGTCACCGTCTTCTTCTGCGGAAATCCCTCCTTGTCAAGGAATCTAAAGCAGAAGTGCGACGAGTTCGGATTCACCTTTAAGAAAGAGGTTTTTTAAGTTTGGACGTTCAGTCAGTCATCTTGTTTTTTGATCAAGAAACTCTAAATTAATGTATTTTGTAATTAGAAAAACGCAGTTGATGTTTTTTTAACATTGGTGCGAAAAAGCATTAGCAAATGATGATGTAGTTTAATTTATGTCTTGGTTTAATATTATCGTAATATTATAGATTTGTTTGTTTTATGCTACAATAACGAGCCATGGGATCTTTCGATATTATACGGTCGATATCTCGTATACGTATGATCGTATACGTATGATCGTAGTCCTTCGTGATAAAGATTGACTGTGTAAGATCGAAGAAAACTGGTTATACATTTATTTTTACATTTTTTATTATACATGATTTTGACAGGTTACACTCTATACTAGGGTGAAATTGTTCTAAAAAGGAGCAGATGTGCATCATTCCGTTCAAACCATTCGATCCGGGGTCTAGCTCGAAATATCTTTTAGCATAAAATGTTTATCAACTGGCTTAATTTTTCCTTTTATCGACTCAAATCCTCATTTGAATAATACCTCGATTGTTTCCACAGTTCGAATCCATGTATGCTAAACAGTGTTTAGACTTAGGCCCCATTCTTTCCATTATCCCTGTACTTAGTGTACAGTACAGTACAGTACGTTAGTCCCTGTTCACTTTACGTGCCAGTACATGTAGTTTTTTATTCATTCTTGTACAACACATCAGATCAATTTACATTGCAAGTTTAATGAATATCAACTGCAGGATTAAGTATGTACAAGTACAGAGAAAAATCATACAATTCAAAGCAAATACAGAAACATTAAAAAAGGTAAATTTTACAAATACAAAAACCGGATATTCACCAATTTGCACATTATGTACATATTATAATGTAAGATGTATAAAATGAAGAATTAATGTATTATAAATATTTATTAATTATTTATTCTTTTATTGCTAATTTAATAAAGTTTACTGCTAACAAATGTTGATTGGAGTAGGGAAGAGAGAGTGGCACACGGAGCAACTAAAAAAAATGAGTTTTTGCCACAAACTCTAATATTTCAATCCACATACCTTTGTAATACGATGGCATAAACCTTTGAAACCATCAGGTTGCAGAGATATAGGGATTTGAAATTTCGAGTTTGTGGCGAAAACTCAATTCCTTTCAAGATCGATTGTATCAAAGGAAAAAAGGTTCCCTGGAAGGGTTCCCTGAAAAGCTTCCCTGAAAAGCTTCCCTGAAAAGGTTCCCTGAAAGGGTTCCCTGAAAGGGTTCCCTGAAAAGGTTCCCTGAAAGGGTTCCCTGAAAGGGTTCCCTGAAAAGTAAATCCATTTTCCTATAATTTAGAGTATTCACCATTAGATAAACTACAAATGTAAATTGTCTGAAATATTGAAATCTTAAATGTTTTTAATCGCAACTTCTCTAATTGAAGAACTATTGATAAGAACATAGATATTAAAATAATATGCAATATGCAAGCTATGTTGTATGTTTCTACACATTGATGATTATTTAATAACTCGGTTTTACACAAGGTTGCATTTACGAAATAATTGAAAAAATAGAATTCATCGATGTAATAATTTTCAATAATTATATATTTACGCTGAGTGCTTCAAATAATTCCTGCATCGACTATTCATTTAGTATATAATAAACATAACTACTAAATATCTAATACAAAAATTATGAAATTTTTTTATTATTACAATGAATACAAAAGGGAGGGATTCAAGGACTTCTAGTGGTTTAAATGTTAACATACATGAGATTTCATATGTACATATAAATATATTCCTCTCTTTATCCTCTTTAGACACTTTCTTCCCTCTCTTTTTCCTCTTTAGGCTCTCTCTTCCCTATCTTTTTCCTCTTTAGACACTCTCTTCCCTCTCTTTTTCCTCTTTATGCTCTCTCTTCCCTATCTTTATCCTCTTTAGACACTCTCTTCCCTCTCTTTTTCCTCTTTAGGCTCTCTTTTCCCTCTGTTTATCCTCTTTAGCCACTCTCTTCCCTCTCTTTTTCCTCTTTAGGCTCTCTCTTCCCTATCTTTATCCTCTTTAGACACTCTCTTCCCTCTGTTTATCCTCTTTAGGCTCTCTCTTCCCTATCTTTATCCCTCTATTATGTTCTCACTTCCATCTCTTTATCCAATCTTCCCTCTCTTCTCTATTTATGCTCTCTCTTCGCTCTCTTCTCTCTTTATGCTCTCTCTTCCCTCTCTTCTCTATTTATGCTCACTCTTCCCTCTCTTCTCTCTTTATGCTATCTCTTCCCTATCTTCTCTCTCTTCTCTCTTGATGCTCTCTCTTCCCTCTCTTCTCTCTTTATGCTCTCTCTTCCCTCTCTTCTCTCTTTATGCTCTCTCTTCCCTCTCTTCTCTCTCTTCTCTATTTATGCTCTCTCTTCCCTCTCTTTCCTCTCTTCTCTCTTTAATGCTCTTTATGTTTTCTGTGACTTTGTGTCCATTTAGTGAGAAAGTAAAATTCCTAAATAAGAATACTAGATGAAACTTTCTCTAAGGACCCATTAGTTAATTCTACCAACAGCGCTTAAACAACATTTATAGAATAAAGAACTGTGCTCTTTCTAAAGAAATTTAGAAAAGAGCCCTTTTCAAAATGGTTTTAGGATTAAATTACTAACTATATGTTAGGGTCAATCCGTTATTGAGGATTTCAGAGCAAACTTGTGAGATACTGAGCAGAGAGGACTTCATGGAGTATAGACTAAAGTGGAATTTTGAAAGGAAAAACTCGCAAAAATGTATCTGCATATCATATCCATGCCACTAAGGCAGTGTATAAATGTTCGGACCAAATCGTATTTTAGCAAATCATGAAAAAATTAGCATGATCGTGCAATTTAGACCAAACCACTTACTTACAAATATTTCGAAGAATATCTGAATTCTTCCGAAATTCTTCGCAATATTCACATAGCTCAGTCACAGGTTGAAAGATATTGTCTTGTGTGATAGGAAATGACTTAAGTTATGATTTGAAATAGGCAAATTAATAAAAAAGCACATAAATTGTGCAGTTGCACAGACCCACTTGATACGTTGATTTTCAAGCTCATAGGACAAACTATTTGCTTTAAACAAAATTAAGTACATATAGGATTGGTTAATCGTTATCTTACTTTTCTACAGTTTTAAGGGTCTCACTCTAATCCAACTGTGCACGTTCTTAAAGGGAGTGACCGGGTATGTAAGGTAGTTGAACTGAGTATGCAGTGTTGTGGAAAACTTCTTTCGGATTCATTTAATACATATTAAACATTTTAAAGATCTGTAAATCCTGAGTTTGAGCGCAAATTCGACGTTCAAAACTCCTACTTTGGGGGTGGATACGTTATCAGAATCGTTTTTTTTTTACTTATTAAATAACGATACAAAATATGTAAACACAACTCTACAGTAAACTTATTAGTTGTTTAGGAAGCGGTTAAGAAAATAAAAATCAATCTTATTATCGAAAATAAGTAATCTTGTTCAATTATTAGTTTCTATTATCTCATTATTCTGGTTACTCATTATTCACAAAGATTTTCTGCAGATTTTCTGTAATTATTATTGAAAAGACGACATTTGAAGAATTTTAAGAAATCTGCAAATAAATTCAAAGAAAATAAGAAATTCAATATTGTGATGAAAACGAAATAATTTATTCTAGCATTGATTTATTGGCAAATTTCTTTTGAGAAATATGTTCCTAACCATCTAATTAGATTACTGTATAATTTTTACATTCTTTTTCGTCGTCGTTATTCAATAATTAAAAAATAAAAACGATTCTGAAAACGTATCCACCCCCAAAGTAGGAGTTTTGAACGTCGAATTTGCGCTTAATCTCAGTATTTACAGATCTTTGAAAAGTTAAATATGTTTCAAATGAATCCGAAAGAAGTTTTCCACAACACTGCATACTCATTTCAACTACCTTACATAGCCGGTCACTCCCTTTAAAACTGGGTTTTGCATTCTCGGTATTGGTTTTTAAGTTTTTGCCTCCGGTGCATAGTTCAAAGTGCGCTTTAAAGAATAAGCTGACACTTTGATGCTTTAGTCTGCATACTGAGATTAAACACTGTTAAACAGACTAGATCTATTCAGACTTCTAACCAGCTTTCACGGGCTGGGCTAAGTATGTTTACAAAAGGTTTTTGACTGCCATCCAACTGCTACTTGCTGCTGCATATAATACTTGTTTTTAATCTTTGTGACAGAAACAATCTCAAGAACTGACGAGGGTCAACCCAGACCGAAATTTATTTTCATTAAATGTGGAACTAACATCTACTTTTTTTACACTACAGAGGTTTGGTCCATCACCATCACCGAATTTTAAATATAATATAATACCTATTCAGGGGTTATGTTTTACAATTTTTAAAGAAATAATCAAACTTTTAACATAAAACAACAACTTTAAGAATTTAGTCCATTTTGAAAGTTTTTGTATTTTGTATCCAAAGGATCCTTAAATACCCCTGAATATAGCCGTACTGTTTATTGCAGTCGTGTACTCCAATTGTACACAATACTCTCTGTATCTCTGAGCCTGAAATTTAAAAGAGTATCGTTGAACGAAACTTCCGAGTTTCGTTTTTGGGGTCTTATTATTTGTGTAGATTTTGATTTAAGAGGTTTTTTAAAAATGGTAAGTTTTGAAGGATTAAATAAAGTAATATTTCTTAACACAACTATTGATATCTACAAAACTGGGTAACCCCATTTGTGAAACCCGGGTTCTAAAACTGGTTTTCATGACGATACCCTGTCTTAAGTTTTGGGCTCTGGACTGTAACCTAGTTGTAAGCAATTTTGATAATTTTGATAATTCACATAATAGTTTTTTATGACCAGAATATTTCATAGATTATTTTTGTGAAAATGGATTCATCCGTCTTGTGTTTACTTTTCCGCCCAAAGACAGTACACTGCAGTACAAAAATACGTACACCTCAGAACCCAAAACTTAAGACAGGGTATCGACAAGAAAACCAGTTTTGAAACCCAAGTTTATCGAATGGGGTTAGGCAGTTTTGTGGATATCAACATTTTTGTTATGAAATATTCAGTTTCTTCATGTTCTTCATTTTTGTTGAATCTTTTAGATCAAAATCTACAAAATGTTAAGCCCCCCAAAAGGAAACTCGGAAGTTTTGTTCAACGAGACTCTTTTAAATTTCGTACTCTGAAATAACTTTCCTTGCAAAGTTGCATTAGTACCTTGGTTGTAAGCATAAATGAGCAAACTTATTAAATTCTCTATAAACAGGGTTACACACAAATTTAGCTGAACCGATCGGGCCCAAATTTTTGTGGGACCTCACGTGACCCCCGGGAAGGTTTGTGAATGATCATTTAAAAGTTAAAAGATTTTTATTTTTGTAATATTTTTAAAATGCGAAAAAATATTATGAAATCCGCAAACTTTTTTTTGTTTTTGTTTTATACTGTACAAAGAGAAGATGCTCAAAGATAAAGCCTATTTTTCCTATATTATTGGTTCATTCAAGTATTATTTTCGCCAAAAATTTACTCAAAAAACCTATGGTTTCTTAAGATTTAATTTTCTAATCCCTATATCTTTGCAATCTGAGCTTTGACTATTTGAACTGGAAGAACTCATAGTTTCATATATCAAAGTTTATAATATCTGGTTACAAAGATATAAAGAAAATTGGAGTTGAGGTAAGTTATCAATTCCTGTAGACAATTTAGTTGTTTTGATGAATTGAAACAAGGACATGTATGTATTAATGCCTGTATTACAATACAAAGATATTTTCTATTACAAACTCAGGCTACTCTTATATTTAGATATAAAACTGTCCTCTACACTTCATAATAACCCTATTGTTTATGAAAAAAAAAAATTTATTTAGTTTGTTTCTGTGTTGTCAAAATCTTTTATGGTTTAAACACGTGTGTCGGAACAATA